CACATCATTTCACATTATATCATATCACATCATTTTACATCACAACACATCCCATAACATCACATCACATCACATTACATCACATCACACCACATCGCATCATATCACATCATATCACATCACATTACATCATTTCACATCATAACACATCACATCACATCACTTCACATCACATCACATCATATCACATCACATTACATCACATCATATCACATTATATCATATCAAATCATTTTACATCACAACACATCCCATAACATCACATCACATCACATTACATCACATCACACCACATCACATCACATTACATCATATCACATTATATCACATCACATCAGATCGCATCGCGCCACATCACATCATACAACGCCAGATCACACCACACCACATCACACCACGCCACATCACATCACGCCAGATCACACCGCGCCACATCTCCTCTGCAAGCCTCAAAAGCAAAAGACAACACTGTCCTTCGTGTTTCCTCGTCCCTTTCTCGCTCCACAAGCCCACCTCGTTTTGATCCACTCCAGACGGCGCCACACGCCTTTATCGATCTGCTCCGAACCATTCAAAGTGGGATCACCTCGTCACCTCCAACAGCGCCCGCTTCCCCACACACATCGGCCTCATTCCAAGCCCCGCTCGCAGACCCTTCGCTGCACATCATGTCGATTTGTCGGATCACCGGTCGCCAGATCCTCGACAGTCGAGGCAATCCCACCATCGAAGTAGACCTCGTCACTGGCAAAGGTGAGCATGTTCTCTTTCACGTCCCTCCTCCTCCTCCTCCTCTCCCTTCCTCCTTTTTCTTTTACTATCTCTCTCTCTCTCTCTCTATTACTGGTCTATTCGTCAACTCGACTCCGGATAGCCGATCCCGAAGGTTCTGTTCAGCCATTTCGTCTCGAAAACTTGATTACTCCGTTGACTCTTTTGTGGAACATTTTGATTTCATACTTCCAACTCGAGAAGACACTATTTATGGGCCTCGAACTCGAAAACGCGATTGCGGAATCTCTCGACAGGAGAGATTTTTCGGCGAATTGGAAAAAGAAACCGCATTCCGGCGACTAGGCCTCTGGCAACTTGATTGCATAGACTCGAGTTCGTGACTGGCCACGTGAAAACACGCTTCTGCGACTGTATCTTTGAAGAGTGACTTGCTCTTCCTCCTCCTCCTCCTCCTCAACTCCTTGTCGAACAATCCCCTTAACTGCCAGAGCGAAAGCATCAATTGCTTTGGACATTTATGCTCCAACTCTCCGACGTGTGGTACAGAATGAGGCGATTCGAGACGAACTACCAACGTCTGTGGGTCAAATATTTTCTAAAGATGAACGTAACATTGGGGATTTGATAAATGAGCAGTTTGTGTGTGTGTGTGTGTGCGAAGGAGAGAGAGAGACTGGTTGGTACCCCTTTGCCGATAGGGCCGGTTCCGGTGGCCGCATCAAAACGCCTCGAGTTGCCGATTGAATCGGTTCTGCTCGGAAAACCGGTAACGAGATCTCGCGCAGGCTGACCTTTATTGGAGACCTCGTCTCAACAGCAAAGGGGCTGCATCTGCGTTGACAGCAAACATACCCAACTGATGCCATTTAACCGATTTTGGCATTGCACACCCTCGTTGTGCATGTGTTTCTCGCTCTGACCTTTCGGTTGGCCAGTCGGACCAGCCTCGGCCCGAAGCCCGTCGGCGGAAGCGACGACGTTGAGGAGGGTTTGGGGCTGGTCCAAGGCCTGCGTCGAGGGGACGCTGTTGTGGGGCAGATTGGCCAAAGTACATGTTTATTGTGAGATTGACAGAATCTGCAGCAGGATGACAACCGAGAATGCGGCTTCGTCGGTTGCGGGGCACTGGAGGTGTCATCAAGTCAGTGCACTTTACGGCTTCGCTCTTCTGCTTGCTCACGGCCGATGTCGCGTTCGAGTCGCTTGCGTGTTCCCAAAAAAAATTTTCCCAAAAGAATCGAATCGCATCAGAAAAGTGCCCAAAGCCATGAAGCCCCATTCTATCAGCTGCCTCGCTCTTCACATGTAAACACAACAAGCAAATAGTGCATCAGATAATTGTATGAAAGTACGTATCTTTGCTGCTGCCTGCAGATCATGCATCAGAACTTGAGTCACCTGCGGTTGTTTTGTGTGGTTCAAATGTATGATAACTGAACTGGCCACAATTAAGGAGACAAAAGGTATCTATGCGCCAAGGATGGCGCAAATTCCTCCACTCGATTATATGATTTCTCACGAGACTACTCACTTTGGGAAGAGTAATATAATTGTATGGGATAATAGCAATTGCTAGTTTGCCCTTTCCTGATTGGTCCGAATTGCAAATGGGAATGGAAAGCAACATCGGCCCCGCAACCAACCTTCAAGCAAGGCTGTGTTGTGGAAGATCAACGTTTCTGTCTGGGCTCGAATGTCATTGGGCCGCTGGTGAGATGATGAGAAAGGATCAGATCTGCTCTTCGCGACAGAGATATTTAATTGTAGCAATTTGCAATTGTGATAAAATCAAATGATTGGTCAAATTTGCTGTCTTCATGTTTGCTTCAAACGCCATTCGGTGTATGCTGACCAAATGTTCTTGATGCAAGATTTAATGATGCTTCAGCAGCATGGATGACACAATTGTAGCCATAAGCCGAAAACCGATTGAATTAAATGAATTTTGCTCCCAAAAGATACAAAGTAGAAATATTAAGAATATTACTTTGTGGAGGTGGACTACTGGTAGATTCGATCCAAGCGATTTATCCCATCCATTTCGCTTAAGGTGATTAAGGATTGGTAATTGAATTTTATCATTTCACGTAGCTTTGCTTTCCAAAATGGTGTTCCCAATTAGGCGGGAGTGGATTTCACTTTCGACCTCGCCTCGGTCTTATCATCAACCCACTCAGCGGGACTCGAACCACGACAGTTTGGCGTGTACACTCGAAACGCTAACCACTAATGCACAAACTGGAAGTCTCGAAAACCTACTCACTCAGGAAAAAAGTAATGTCACT